TTAGGGGTGAGGGTACCTTCATGTGAACTGTGGAGTTGAAGAACCCCTTGTGGCATATGAGCTATAGTCTAAACTCCTAGTATCCCCCTTAATAACCCCTATAGTAGTCCCATATATAATCCCCTATAGAACCCACTTTAAGGAGTTTAGACCAGAGCTCATATCATTGGCATCAGTTGCGCATGAGGCAGATCACCACTCCCTGATTCTTCTGGCACTTTCAAACCTTCCGAATTAAGCTTTCACCTGGAGCGCAATGCTTATTGCTTCTTCCTTCCTTCATTATGGCTCGCGAAGCTAGAGCTCTTAATCCAAATCTGCTTCGTACGAGGCCCTCTGTCTGATCACAGCACAACAGCAACGAAGAGCTGCTTAGAAAGGATGCCTTGTGAGGCTCTCAAAGAAGCGTACGGCAGAGCAACTGCTGCAACACCTGTTCCGTCCTCCTTGGTGAAGTCAGAGCTGACAAACACCACGGTCTTGTCAGCTTTATCCTTCATGAACTCTGTCAGCACTGGCGTGAAGTCGCGGCACATTGGACACCACTCGCCAGCAAAGTACAGGGCCACCGACTTCTTCTCAAGAGCAGTGCTGCTATCCACTTGCTGGCCTTTGGAATCAAGCAGCGGCCCAATTCCTGCCCATGGGACTGCAGGGTAGAATCCGAATTGTACCAGCGACTCCCACTCAGCTCACTGCAGTCATTACTTATACGATGGGACGTAGACTCGAGGTCCCAGGGACGGGCCTGAAGCTGCAGCAGCCTCCCCTGCCGCAGAGAGGGCAGCCATACCTCAGACTTGGCCGATATAATTCCCTATATAAGCCCGTTTAAGGAGATTAGACTAAGCCCTAAACCTTAAACCCCAAACCCTATATAATCGCCCATATGACCATATAATCCACCTTTGAGGAGCTTAGACTATAGCTCAGATAGTCTTCAGGCCTAGGCACTGCTCCAAGCAAACCTCCGCGGGCAACCAAGGGGCTTGGGGGCTTCAAAGAAGCACAACCTCAGCAACTGCTGCAAGTCCCAGCAAGCATTATATATATATATGTATATACAAATACATTTACATACATACATATATATGTATCATCAGAGAAATATGTTGACCGGACAGAGGTGCCAATATTGCTTCCCCAAGTGGTCAAAGCACTCACAGTAGAGTTGGAAAGCGCTACTGTACCAATTACGTAAACATTGGGCACAACCCGAAACCCAGTTCCTTCTGAACTACTGAGCTGCAAGCAAGATGAACCAGCAGAAACGCGAAGAACATGCTAGGCAAGAATTCTGAGAACACTGCGGCTACCCTCCCCCCAATTCTTGATGCAGGACTCAGAGAGTTTGTAGGCATTCCAACTCAGACCCGGACCTCACTCTCTTATACGCACTCCGCATACCTGTAACCTCTTCTAATCCTGAAGCCAGGAACCTTTGTATGCTGAAAACGGGGGCCAGTGATATGAAATGATTGTGAGGCGCGTAACAGGATTGCAAGGGT